CTCTTTTGTCCGGTCTTCAGTCTTTAGATTGTGTGTCATGTCAACAAGGGAAGCATACACGCTCCTCTTTTGCCAGTCGAGTCAATAAACGAGCTGATGCCCCTTTCTCTCTTGTTCATTCAGATATCTGGGGTCCAAGTCGTACCTTGTCTGTCTTAGGTTTTCGGTATTTCGTTACCTTTATTGATGATTTTTCCCGTTGCACTTGGACCTATTTAATGAAAAATCGTTCCGAGCTATTTTCCATTTATAAAAAGTTTTCTACTGAGATCCATACTCAATTTGGTGTTTATATTCGTATTCTACGTAGTGATAATGCTAAGGAATATGTTTCTATTGATTTTTCTAATTTCTTGGCCACACAAGGTACTTTACATCAAACTACTTGTCCTCACACTCCACAACAAAATGGGGTGGCTGAACGTAAAAACAGACATCTCATTGAAACTGCCCGTACCCTTCTTATTCATATGCAGGTTCCCCTTCACTTCTGGGCAGATACTGTACTCATCTCTTGTTTTCTCATCAATCGCATGCCTTCATCTGTGCTCCACAATGACATTCCTCATAATCTATTGCTTCCAGATGTTCCTCTTTATCCTCTAACTCCACATGTCTTTGGTTGTACTTGTTTTGTTCATGATCTCACTCCTGGTAAGGATAAGTTAACATCCAAAGCCTTTCAGTGTATCTTTCTTGGTTATTCTCGTCTTCAAAAGGGTTATCGTTGTTATTCTCCCGACCTTAAGCGTTACTTAGTTTCCGCTGATGTCACTTTTCTTGATCAACAACCCTTTAATTCTATCCCATCTCTGATGTCACAGGTTGATCATGTACTTCCGGTCCCTTTTCTTGACTTGTCTTTGCCAGCTGCAGGTGCTTCTATTCCAGATGAGCAACCTATTGCTTCTATACCTGAGGACCGTCCACTTCTCACCTATCAGCGTCGCAAAACTGTGCCTCCTGTCGACTCGACTCTTGCTGACTCATCGCCCACTGCTGTTGCTTCTTCCCCTCCGGATCCTTCATCAGAGACTCTTCCCATTGCTCAAAGAAAAGGTACACGTACTACTCGTAACCCTTATCTTCTTTATTCCTTTTTGAGTTATGACCGTCTTTCTTCACCTCATTTCACCTTTGTTTCTAGTCTTTCTTCTATTTCTATTCCTAAGACCACAGGTGAAGCACTTTCCCATCCAGGGTGGCGCCAAGCAATGCTTGATGAGATGACTGCACTTCATTCCAATGGCACTTGGGACCTTGTTTCTGCTCCTCCAGAGAAGTCTATAGTTGGTTGTCGCTGGGTTTTTACTGTGAAAGTTGGACCTGATGGCCATATTGATCGTCTCAAGGCACGTTTAGTTGCCAAGGGTTTTACTCAAATCTTTGGCCTTGATTATAGCGATACTTTTTCTCCGGTCGCTAAGATGGCGCCAGTCCGCCTCTTTCTTGCCCTTGCTGCTATTCGTCACTGGCCACTCCTTCAACTTGACATCAAAAATGCCTTTCTTCATGGCGCAAGTTTACATGGAACAACCACCTGGTTTTGTTGCTCAGGGGGAGTCTGGAAAGGTGTGTCGTCTTCGGAAATCCTTATATGGTCTCAAGCAGTCTCCTCGAGCATGGTTCAGTCGCTTCAGTTCTGCTGTTCAGGCGTTTGGCTTAATCCGCAGTAAAGTTGACCATTCTGTGTTTTATAGGATTACATCTCCTGATAAGTGTATTTATTTGTTAGTCTATGTTGACGACATCATTCTCACCGGAAGTGATCAAGACGGAATTCGTCAGTTAAAACAGCATTTGTTTAGTACATTTCAAACAAAGGACCTTGGGAAGCTGCGTTACTTCTTGGGAATTGAGGTGGCGCAATCCAGACAGAGCATTTCTATCTGTCAAAGGAAATATGCCCTGGATATCCTAGAAGAAACTGGTATGTTGGGGAGTAAACCAGTTGATACACCTATGGATCCTAATGTCAAGTTATTGCCCGGACAGGGGGAGCCGTTATCTGATCCTGGACATTATCGGAGGCTAATTGGGAAGCTCAACTATCTTACTGTGACTACGCCAGATATTTCTTTCGCTGTTAGTACGGCTAGTCAGTTTCTTGATTCCCCTTGTGATTCACATTGGGATGCTGCTGTGAGGATCCTCCGATACATCAAAGGAGCACCAGGAAAAGGTTTGTTGTATTCAGATCAGGGAAATACAGAAATTTGTGGTTATTCAGATGCTGATTGGGCAGGATCACCCTCGGACAAGCGCTCTACTTCTGGCTATTGTGTCTTAATTTCGTGGAAGAGCAAGAAACAACCTGTTGTTGCTCGATCTAGTGCAGAAGCTGAGTATCGTGCAATGGCAAATGCTACCTGTGAGTTAGTCTGGTTAAAGCAGTTGATTCAGGAGCTTCATCTTTGTGAACAGAAACAACCCATGACACTCATCTGTGATAGTCAAGCTGCGCTACATATATCCTCTAATCCTGTCTTTCATTAGAGGACCAAACATATAGAGATTGATTGTCATTTCATTCGAGAAAAGATTCAGTCAGGAGAAATCAAGACTGCTTTCGTCAACTCCTCTGATCAACTAGCGGATGTTTTCACTAAAGCTCTTAGAGGTCCTCGGGCTGAATACATTTGTAACAAGCTTGGTGCTCATAATATATACGCACCAGCTTGAGGGGGAGTCTTAGAATATTAGATATGATATGATTAGATATGATTGGATTCTGTCTTATCCGTAAATATTCTGACTGTATTCTGACTGTATTAGGATTAGGTTTGGGCCTTTCACTTAAGCCCATTAGGGTCTCTATATATTGTAACTCTCTGACACATATCAATACACAACATATTATTCTTCTATTATTTTATATTCAAGTGCAACAAAGCAAAAGAATACAGGAGAAAATGAAGAAGAAATTGTAGAAGAAGAAATAAAAGAAATCAGTGAAAGATGAAATGCCAATACCTGTTGGAAGAGCTCCTCCTGACCGTCGGCAACCTCGCATCGGATGCCGGAGTTTCATTTTCGCTTGTGGCGACACCATCGTTGACATTAATGGCAGTAATTGGCTCAACGCTTTGGAGAATGATGGTGTGGTTGTCTTGAAGATCAAGAGTGACCTCAACATACTCGTCGGAGAAGATGCAGAAGAACAAGAGAAAGGACAAAAGGAGGAAAAGGAAAAAGAAGGTGCAGAAAAACTAGAGAAAAAAGATGGAAAAGTAGTCGAAGCTGAAGAAAGCAACGAAGAAGAAATCAACATAGAGGAGAAAGAAGCTGTTCTGGATCGAAGCAGGTCATATGCAAGTAATGGGCGAATCAGGTCAGGGGCTGTAAGCGGGTATATTGGGCGACCCGCTTTGAGAAATATGGAGGGACGAAATGGGTTGCAAGGGGGGAACACTCATAAGGGAAATGGGCCAACACCTACGGCCCAACATGGAATGATTAATGTGGAGGGTCCAAATAAGATTTCTATGGTAGTTAATGAAATTAGAAATGGGCCTAATTCAATCCATCAAAGAAGACTGGCCCAAGATGGTACCCAAGGTCATAATCCAGGGTCAAATAAAATGAACGTTGATTCATTAGGGTTAAACTTTTCTTATGACCGAAGAATGAAAGTGACAACATGGAGTGCCAACGCCGTAGGAAACAAGGATCAAAATAATCCTAGAAGCTCGCAGTATCGTAGATTGACAATGGAGGAGTGGAATGACCAGAGGCGCCGAAAATTATGGGCCCATTTTCAGGATCATATCTTCTATGAACAGGTATGCCAAACTCCTCACCTTGTTGGTTGGAACAGTGGAAGACAGAAGGGGAGAAGAAAGAGGGAAGGGGAGAAGAAAGTGTATAAAAGGGATAAGAGTAGAAAGCATTGGGCCAATGCATATGTCCAGGCCCACAAATTAAGTGGTGAAAATGTTCACCACTCTCCAACGGTCTGCTGAAGGGTAGAGAGCCCATGTGGGTCCCTTTTAGCATGGAAGGGTGTCAGTGAGGGGCATCTGGAATTCTGAAATTGGGTAGGCCTGGAAGAGATTCCGAACCTCTCTAAAGTTCAGAGACTTTTTGTCAATTTTCTTGCAATTTCCATCACTTTCCTTTTTATCTTTACTAAGTCACTGTAGGTCTGTAGCAGTCAAAACTGTCATTTGACTCCTTTTCTTTATTTTTCTAAACGCTAAACGTGTACAGTCTTGTGGTACTTGAGGCTGAGGTCACTGTTACTCACCTTTTGGAGGTAATTTCATCTATTTTCCTTTTTTCTGTTCTGGGAACGTATCATGATGACTTATTAAAACAAAATTATCTGAAGCTGATATAATGTTTATGGGCATACTATAAAGGTACGAATCCCTAAACAAATTAAGATTGCTGTAATAAAGCATGTTTATATATTTCCCCTTGCCTAGTTGTATCATTCTCAGATTTTGGACCTTGTCATACTAGTATCTCCATCAAATTTGTATTTCGTGTGGGCTTTGTAAACTACTTGTTTTTATATTTTCTCATGGGTAATATGGTGCTGGATGAAACTTTATGTCTGTGAGACAAAAGGGCAGGTATTAAATGAGCCCGTTACTAACTACTGGCAATGCCTTCTACAACTGCGTAACCTTTGTTTACATTCCTTAGGTAGCCCTCACTGGTTCTTTTCTGTTTTAGAAGTCAACAAATTTTGTTGTTTTGGAACTGTTGAATAACGAGGAAACGAGAGGCATATGTTGAAATTCATGTGTCCCATTAAAACAACGGAAACACTGTGTTATATATATTCTGACTATAGCAATTACATAATAATAATCTAATGATGTGAGACTTCATTCCTCACTGTATTATCAACCTATTTACATTATTTCCAATCAGGTCCAGAAGTGTGATGCAAGCATAAACCATTAGTGGTTTATTTTTATTTAAACATTACAAATTATTATCTATTTGTTTAACCATTTATGCCATCTTGTTTGTTTGTTCACATCATGCAGGACAAGGAGACTGTTGTGGGACACACGAGTGAGTCCTAATGTTGTATACTCTATACAGCACATGCCAAGCGACACATCAACATTAGCTGTTGGTGGAATAGATGGTATCTTAAGATTTCTAAATCAGAATGATGGAAATATTGTTTCAAGTTGTATTATTCAGGATAAATTGTTATCAACATCTCAAAGTCCTTCAGGATCCATTCAAAGAAGGAAAGGGAGGAGATTGCCCGAAGATACCTACATAAATATTGACATCATTCCAAAGAGTGTTCGACCCTCTATTACATGCCTCGCCGTTGGAATGAAGAAGATTGTTACCACACATAATAGTAATGACATTAGATTGTGGAAATTCAACTGAAAGGCAATACTCCTACGTTGTAAAATTAAGATCCTCTGTGATAATAGTTTGGGATAATTATCATGTAGGAATAAGGCCTACGCAGTGAGCAAGAGAAAATTACTCTCTTTTTTCTTAAAAAAAATATATTTATATAATCAATTCATTTTGTTGTACTATAACAGTGGTCTTTTTCATAGTAAGTATTGAGCAGTAAAGTCAGGCAGTCTCAAGTCTCAACTGGGGCATTGTGCAGTCCAGAATCATTTTAATATTTAAGTGTATTTAACCATTTTCCCCCGTTTACCTGTTAAATTGAGAAATAAAGAGCGGTTTTTATTTTTTAAGGGAAAAAAGTAATTTAATAATTAAAAATAGATATTACTTTTAAAAGAGGTACACAAAAAGTTAAAAAAAATAAACATTTATATTTTTTATGAGCAAAAAAAGTAATATAATTTTATTACTTTTTTAAAAGTTTAAAAAGGTGATTTTTTTGAAGAAAAAAAAAGTTTTTAAAATATTGTAATGTAAAAGTGTTTTTAAAGAAAAAATTATAAATGCACCAATGGTTAATTTGCTAAAAATCAAAGGGCCGTATAACATTTTGTGCACAACACAAAAATGAAATGAATAAAAATTCCTTTTTCTTGGTTTCCCATCTAATTTGTTGAACCTTATTTCTAGCATGTTCTTTGATCTTTTACTTGACCATCCTCTATGTGGCACTTACATGTCATGTCTTCTACATCTAGGACAACTTCACTGGCAAGGACTCCAAGACAGCCACCGTGGTTGAAAAGAGTGGACCTAGCTCTAGTATCCCACACTGTGGCAATGTGGCAACTGCGGATGACCTAATAAAAAAGGGACACCGGTGTATAAATGAGCAATTGTTTATATTTTAATTTGGTTCTTAAATAGAGGTTTCATAGGCATTGAAATAGAAAATAACTAGCTTCATTTCAATAATTGGGATGAGATGACCATACATTAGAATCTCTGTTAGTCATAAAATGTAAATGATGTGACAATATTTATTGTTTTAACTCATTTTTTGAATTAATGTGATACAATCAATAAGGGCGGATTTGGGAAGGTATATAAGAGGAGAAGGAGCAGAGAAGTTCCACGTGGACATGATGAGTCAGCAGCAGTGAAAGAATAAAATTGGTCACATGGACAGCGATGTCAGCAAGGCAATGATAGCAAGGGAGGGGTCACGTGGATAGGAAGAAGTTTGTTACAAGTTTGTTAAAAATAGGAGAAGGAGCATGGGAGACTATCATCTTTTCACTTGGGACTTTTGGGCACCTCTTGAATGATTTGGGAGAAAATCATAGTCTCTCAAAGTGTTCTGAATGGTAGTTATCTATAGTAGCTATTCTAGCTTGTAATTGTCTCTTACTGTTATTTCATTTCCACACTTGTAATTTTCCTTTTATATTTGTGATTGTCATTGAGAAAACTGTTGGAACTATCAGATTGAACCTGAGTTTGGGTTCAATGCTATAAATACGTTTTTACTTAATTAATTCAGCTTCCTTTTATCTCTTATACCTATCATAATGAAATGCTTGTTTTGTTGTTTTTGTTATGTTTTGGTGTTCATTTACTTTGGGACGTTGAGGAAAAAGATTCATCTGAAAAATCTCACAGATTCTTGTTATATGTATTTTTAGTGCAAAACACAAAGGGATAATAGTAAATTTTGCATTGTTCCTCCTATACTTATAAATATCAAATAACATACATCACAAAATTGCTTGTATTGTGCATCAACTATCAAACAAAACACACACAAAAATATTATGTTGAGACTCAACTACTTGTTTTGTGCGGCTATCTTTACCCTGCATGTTAGTATGCATCAAATTCAAAGGAATATTGAAAAAAGGAAAAGAACATCCTTTTAATACTAATTAAACATTTTATGTGAATTGTGATTAGGGATATCTAAACCTTATAAAACCAATCATATTAAATGCAATATTATAGGATTATTGGCATGGTCCATTAACCAATAGCCAAAACGTCTCATTTGTTCTGCAAATTAATCTTTCAGTCGATATCCAGAGGCACGTCTTATTAAATTTTTTTATTTTTATTTTTGAGAAATCACATGTATCTTTCGCGAGAGGCAATCCTGTTTGAGCCCGGAACATCTACATCATGGTGGGGCTAGATCTACTAAAAGGAATGTCTTATTAACCTTATATCTCAGCTATTGCATGCAATTTGCCTCATCGTCACAACGAGGCTTCTGTGGCAAGTTTTCTGTATCGGCCTAGAACACATCCCCTCGAATTAGGACATGTCCTCATGTACACACGTTCCTATTTATATACTCCACCTTAGTATTATATTGACTTGAGTGTTAGAGTTTTCCCTTACAAGTGCAGTGTAACACCCCGTGTATACCTGGTTGTTATCATATCATCGTATTAAGCGCTGCTTAATTAAAATGCGGAAACTAACTTTTTCTTTCCATTTATGACGTCATTATTATTAACCAAGTTGATTAATGAATCCTTTTTCAAAAACATTGCCTGTATGTAAATTGCAAATAACAACTAATTACACTGAATAACCTCATTACATAAATAACTGTGTCTCTAGTCACGAAACTACAACACGTAGACCGGACAAATCCTGATAGTTTATACAACTCAAAGCTACAAGCATAACTAACATCAATGTGGCATGGACAATCCCCATGCTCACCAAATAAGGCAACAAGACACAACAGAGTCTCAAATCATATAACAATATAAAGACAATAAAACATAAGTCGGCATCCAAGCAAATCAGCATAAACATGCATAAACAGTCAACTAAGCTCCGGCCTCCTGCCGCCCGAGGTATCAGCCCCCGAGGTACCTGAACCTGAAAATGTGTCCCAAACGTGGGGTGAGATCTCTAAAAAGATATCTCAGTAAGACAAGGGATCCTCAAGAATCTCTCCACCCCAAGCTCATTTACATGTGCAATATAAGTTCCAAAAACAGTAATATAATATAAGTTCCAAAATCAATGCAATGCAGCATATAATCATGTCATGTGTGTCAAAATCCTACTGGCCAGAGAACATGCAGGAATTACATACGTCTACAACTTACAATCAATGCAAGACGCTACTTGCACCCACCCACAGAATCACCGTATTGTATGACGCCACATACTCAGGCTCACCGTCTAGGGGGAACAACACATACATATCATAAGGCATTTGCACTTAACAGCTCAATAGCATTTCAAATATCAATACATGAAAACACATCATGCATATAAACCATACCTCCATGAGGTATGGTGGAACCAACAATGGCAAAACCGAGGACACGAAAACTTACCTCGCAAGCTAACTATCCAACTCAAGAGTCCAACTAAGTCCAAGGTCCACAAACAGCACTCTCACAGTCTGTTTATACCAACAACCATATCAATATTCATATTCTAAGAGTTCATGACATAACGAAAACGTTATCCTTTTATGTTTCATGCCATTAGGCTTCTCACAAAGCCATAAGCCCTTAATCCAATTAATTCTGACTTAGATTATTTATTACATAGGTTCAACTAACCAATCTAGGGTCCATAAACCCAAAATACAATTTTGTATGAACAGAACAGTGACCATCACGAATTTTCCAGAATATCCAGATATTTTTCGGGGACATATCCAGATATTTCGTGACAGAATGCAGTTCTACATTTTCGCAAAGATACCCTTCCAAGGCATCATTTTTAACATCAAGACACGTCCAAGCATGCATTTTTAGACACCCCAAGGTCAGTGTTTATGTTGGTTATCTATTCAACTCATTTTACATGCCAAGACTCTTCTTTTAATAAGGAAACTCATGATCAAGGTAAAAGACATACCCCAAGGCTCCAAAACAGAAGCTAGAGGTGCTCTTGGAGCTCTCTATGCAACTCCACAAGTCTAACTTCAAAGGTGCACGAAATGGCACACAAAGCTTGATCCTTTCTCTCCAAAAATGGCTTCTTGAAGCTCAAGATGCCATGACAAGGGCTCCCTCAACAAGGTTCAAGAACTCAGCTCCTAGACTTCCCCAAAACAGTGACCAAGACTCAGAAACAAGGTCTCTTACTTACCTCTAATGCTATCTCTCACTCACACAAGGTGTTTTGGTGAAGAGAATTAGAAGAAAGATGGTTTCTTTGGTGGGTTTACAATAGAGGGGGCAATGGAACAGTGGAGGGCTGATCAGCTTCCAAGGAACTCTCACGTAGCTTTCAAAATATGGCCTAGGGTTTTGTGCAATTAGTATATATAGGGACATTAGATTTAATCACATTGTATTAGCATTAATAGCTATGCTTAGTATTTTAATCCCAAACTTTGGATTCTGAACCCAGCCATTATTCTAAGATTTATCATATTTTTATTTTATTTTTTCGCAGCACTTTTTTGGTACGCGCTTTTACGTAGCCGGTATCAGTTCTGACACCAGTTCTCATTATTTTGACTCCAAACTTGTTATACTAGTCATATATATTATTCTAGTAATATATACATACTTTTCATAATTTTTCGAGATACTTCATTGGTACGCATTTATACCGTGAAGCAGAACCGGTATATGCACTTTTCATCAGAAAAACGACTTTCAACATTAATAATCACTTACTATAATTATTTAAGCCTTCTCGTAATTTTTAGGGTCAATTATGAAATTATTTCCAAAATTCACACTTAATTAATTTACATTCCTAAATTAATGGTGCACGTTCTTACATTCACCCCACCTTTTAGGATTTTGCCCGCAAAATCAGAAACATACTTGTCCCGAAACTCGGGGTATTTCTGGAGAAGCTCGTCTTCTCTCTCCCAAGTACACTCCCCTGGACCTCTTCCTGTCCATTGCACTTTGACCATCGGAATGATCTTGCTCATCATCTTCTTCTCGCCACGATCAAGGATTTTGAGTGGTCCGACAGGAGTCTTTAGGTTCTCCCGAACCTCCACATCATCCGGTTGCACCATGTGCGATGGATCTGCAATATACTTCCGAAGCTTAGACACGTGAAACATGTCGTGGATGTTGGCTGTAACACCCCGTATATATCCAGTAATGTTATCATACTATCGTATTAAGCTGTGCTTAATTAAAAATGTGGAATATCTTTTTCTTTTCAATTATGATGTCATTAATCATTACCAACTTGATTAC